GCCCGCAAGTTTTAAGGTGCTCTGGTGCCCTCTTTGACTTCTCTACTCACAAGCCTCTCTTATTTTTCTTGATATAAACTGGCACAGGTTCCAAAACAGGGCAATGCCAAGTCCAGTTCCTTCTCTCCAACCATGCTTTTTCAACAACTTAAAACCAAGGCTGGAGGAATGAATAGGAATTGAGGTTAAAGAAGCACACGTTGCGGCATAACTTGTAGACATTCCCAAACCTGCAGATTCATATTCTACTCCTCCTCTACCCGCTCTCATATCTTTGAATTCACTTTCCTATTTCTCGCTCCTACGAGCAGAAGCCAAAATCAAAAAAATATAGAAGCCAAAAAATCCTTCTAAACAACAAAAGATGAAGAAATTTGAGTCACCAACTCTATCGCAACAACCTCCTTCAACCTTAAAAATTGTCTCTGTACTTTGATACCAATTTGAAGGAATGAAATACCCGAAAAATAATTTAGTCACAAGCAAAAAACTCCACTAAAGGTATATAGAAGAAATTTATCAAACTAGAGAGAAAATGTTATAGGATGCTTTTCTACAACTCAGAAACTCTTGAATCTCTCTACAAAAAAACAATTAGCAGCACCCCTATTTATAATACTACAAACCAAATTTGATTAGATTAACAAAACCTATTCCAATATAAACTTGATAAACAAAGCTAACTAGACATGAATTAAATAAACTATCAAATACCAAAGCCTAGGCAACCTATACTAATTAATCTTGGTTTAATTTTCAAACATACATTAAGAATATTAGATGTCCAACTCAATTAATCGGATTTCTAAAATCAAATTGCATTGATTAAGATATTGTCATTGTATCCTTAAATTACATAGCTAAACAACATTCTTTTAACCTACACGAATATGCTTTATGAAATTAGCAGTCCATTATGCCAAAACATCAATCGACTACGGGTTTTTTGCAAAATTCTCTAAATATATTTATAGATTGAATATGATATTTTGTTGGTATTGAAGTATATGTTTCTCTTCCTTTTAAGTTATGATTGAAAATCCTATATTTTACACTGTTTACCTCGAAAATACGAGTAACAATTAAATTTGATTTGTGGTTTTAAAGATATATGATTTAGTTCAATACCAATTAATAATCAAAAAGTATAAATGAAAGAAATGAATAAATAAAACCAGTGTTACTTAAGCAATATCGACCTCGAGCCCAGTAACCTCGAGATGGATCAAGAACAGTAAAACAAGAATAATAAAGCTAAAGGACAATTCTGATGAACAATGAGCGAGAAAAGTAAGAGAGTATATTATTTGTCAATGATTAGATGATGTTTACAAATGATAGGGGTCCCCGTTATATAATAGGATAACCCTAAATAAGGTACATTTCCATTTACAGTAAAAAATCTTATTAGGACAGCTGTCTAACTGCCTAGTACGGATTCGTACAAATCTGTTCCGGAATTTACGCCATGTTCTTAGGGACGTGGCAGGAATCTTGCTCATTCTGTTACAAATCCATAACGGTATTATTTTGGGGTTGAGCATACTCGGCCTCGATACTTATCGTACTTTAATCCTCAGGCATTACACTATGTCTTCGAGCTCGAGTTTGGTTATCGAGTTCGAACTTGACCTTGCCTGAATTCGGGCTTAAGGCGACCCCTCGAGCTAAGAAATCGGGCATACCTGATTTTGATCGTATATACATACATTCATATAATTATGTCAAAACATCTGGTACTTGAAAATTTTAAATTATTGAATGATAATAGGCTATATAGTTGATATTTACACGTTAATATGACCATACTTTGTTGTTGTTTTATAGATAAATTGCCAACAAAAATGCTCTAAATATTATTTTTTTTGTTTAGTAGGGAATATTATATGAGAGGAAGCAACATGAAGTGTTTTGGAGGCGATAATGTGAAGAAAAACGCCCACTGGAGAAGTACCCGAACATAAAAAAGCATAAATGGCCTGGGCAAGAAGGCCACCGCGCCCGTGGTGAACCACGGTAGATTAACAACGTAAGGCAGAAAGGTCAGCATTCACCGCGGTCAACCGCGGTGCACTGTTCACGCTGCTGGAAATTTTGTGGACCAAAGTGTAAAATCGGAAAAACTTTTGTAAAACCCTTATATGCTTTAGAAACTCGCCCAAGATGGGGCTAAGCTGATTTTTAGACTACTTTTGGAGGCAAGAACAAGAGTGAGAAGATCAACCAAACATTAGAGTTTTTCTATCTCCTTTTAATTCTTGCAATTTTACATTATGAACAATTTAGTAGTTTTCTCTTATTTTGTTATGAGTAGCTAAATACTTATTTAGGGTTGATGGAACCAATTGTTGGTTGAAGTTTTAACTTAAGTTGTGATAATAGAGTCGGATTTATGATATGATTGTTCAACTACGTTTTGTATGGTGATTAATTGAATGGGCCCTTGATTAATCGTGTCTAATTACCTTATATTGCTTGATAAAGAGTATTAGGTTAGACAGCTGTTGAACAACACCACTTTTGGGTAATTGAATAGATTCATTACTTGAACTTAAAAGTGGGTTTAGAGATAACAAAACTTTGATGGGATAATTTAGAGTTGCACACATATTGTCAACTAGAGTACTTCGAGAGAATGCTCTAGTAAATTATTGTAGTTGATCGAGAGATAATTACGATAACCCATAACTCTTAATCCTCATAGAGTATTATGGCGAGACTGTAGCAGAAGAGTCAAGACCTAAACTAGCAATTGGGGAAATCACTGCCCTAGACTTTTTTTTACCATTGAATTAACTTTGTTTTAGCGTACTGCTGTTTTTAATAGTAGTTAAAGTAGTTAAACAAAAACCCAATCTTTATTGATCAAAAATCTTGCATCTAGAGATTGATTGAGTTGGTAATAACATTGTCGTAGAGTGTAATAGATAGGTTAGTTCCCTGAGGATTCGATTCCAAACTTAAAACCGGATTATATTTGCAGCGACCACTTTGTCCTTTAAAAGGCATAGTTGGACGTTATCAAATTTTGGCGCCGTTGTCGGGGAACTAACGGTGTTATTTATTACAACTTAGAAGTAGTGTTAAAATCATTAGTTCAAATCAAGTTCCAAAGGTGTTAAATAATTTTCATTGAAATTCTAACGTTTGAACTCTTGTGGAATTCAGGTGTATGCCTAGAAATTCTTCGAGGATTGGAGAATTGCTTGAAGGACTTTCAAACCCCGAGAAAACATTCAGGGCATTGAACCGTGCCAACAAGAGGATCCAAGAATCACAACAACTACACCAGCTTGAAATTGACATGGGTGACGTAGAGAACGTCAACGGAAACATCAGGGATAAGCCAGCTGTCCCAAACGTCAAAGTGGTGGCACATCTTGTGCAAGAAGCTGCACTTTATAATTGGGCTCAACCCACAGCTGACAACCTGGCAACTGCCATAGCTGTGCCCGCAATTCAAGCGGAGACATTCCAAATCACCAACAACATGTTGCATCTGCTACAGAATAAAGGATTGTTCTCCAGGTCACACATTGAAGACCCTCAGCAACATTTGAAAAACTTTCTGTCAATTTGTGTGACTCAAAGGCAGCCAAATGTGACCCCAGAAGCTATCAAGCTATTACTGTTCCCATTCTCTGTGACTGGGGAAGCTCAGACTTGGCTGAATTCACTCCCAATCAATTCCATTGTCACATGGGAGGAATTAGTAAAGCAGTTTCTGAATAAGTTCTACCCGCCCGACAAGACTACAAGGCAGATTGATGAAATAGTGCAGTACAAGCAGCAGCCAACTGAGGCCTTGCAAGAAACTTGGGAAAGATTTAAAAGGATGCTGGTGAAGTGTCCTCACCATGGCATTCCAGACCAGATGCTTGACCAGAGATTCTACATGGGGTTAGCTGACAATCTAAAGGCCAATGTGGATGCTTCAGCTGGAGGTGCATTTTTAAGTAAGACATTCACCGAGTGCAATGTCCTTCTTGACAAGATGTCCCAAAATTCAGGGTGGATGACTAGAGGTACAACAGTGGCACCCATAGTGCATTTAGTTCCTCTTGACCCAAATAATTCGCATGCAGAGAACATGGCCACACTCATGACTCAGATGAGTATTTTGACGAAGAAGATAGATGAGATGGGTACCAAAAAGGTGCATATTGTTGACACAACAAATGGAGGACTGTGTACACCCTGTGTTAATCAGTTTTATGTGTGTTCATGGAGCGGAGTAGGTGAAAATCAAGGGGCAAAGGAAGATATGAATTATGTTAACAACTTTGGGGGTCAGAGACAAGGAGGACAGCAGTGGAGACCGGCACCAAATCAGCAATACAAACCCAACATGCCTCAGCCTGGGGGCATGTAAGTTCAAGGCCAAATGGTGTCATACCACCAAAGACAACAGGGCTACCCATAGCAGAACCAGCAACAGTTGACATATCAGCCACCTCCTCAGCAATAAGATAACAACATGGTAGAGATCAGGCGGATGCTCCAGCAACTCATTGGGACAAATGGTAAGATGCAAGAAAAGTTGACAATACATGATTCAGTTATAAAGAACATTGAAACTCAGTTGGGGCAGTTGTCTATAGCTTTAAACAACCGCCCCTAGGAAACATTGCCAATGGACACAAATATTAACCCCAAGGAGCAAAACCCGAATTAGCTGATGGCAGTAAGTCTACGAAATGGGAGAGATTTAGACAAAGAGCAGGAGGTTGCACAAGCCAGCAAAGAGACTACACCAGCCACTCCAGTTCTACTAGAGATAGATAAACCATCAAATCTGACTGAAGTGGTGGTTGAACAGGGTCAAGATGAAAAAGGTAAGGCTAAGGTAAATGAACAAGCTGCAGAAACAGCATGTGGTGCCTCTTGTGGCACAGAACCCCAACAGAGAGAAGCTAGCAAACAATGCACAAAGGGTAATACTTGCACCATTCCCTCAGAGACTGGTAAAACAAAGGAATGAAGATCAATACAAGAAATTCATGGAGATGCTACGTCAAATTCAGTTGAATATTCCTTTAATGAAGGCCTTGAGGGAGATGTCAGGTTATGCGAAGATGATGAAAGACTTAATGCCACGGAAGTTTGATTTTCAGGACCTATCCACAGTGAATCTAACGCAGACCTGCAGTGCAGTAGTGACCAAACCAATGGCTCAAAAGATGTCAGACCCAGGTAGCTTCACTATTCCATGCACGATTGGGAGTTATGCCTTTGCAAAGGGATTATGTGATTTGGGAGCCAGCATAAATTTGATGCCTCTGGCTGTATACACCAAACTGGGCATTGGCAGAGCTAGACCGACTTCGATGCTGCTGCAGCTGGCTGACCGCACGGTAAAAAGGCTTACTGGATTCTTGATGATGTGTTGGTGCAAGTGGGGAAGTTCGTGTTCCCTACAGACTTTGTTTTTCTGGACTGTCAGGTAGATGAGGAGATACCTATCATTTTAGGTAGGCCAT